TTGTCCCCTGAGGAGGAGATCACAGCCTAGCACTGTTGATTGCCCCCTAGACAATCCTGCCATGTGCTTGTAGTACATCGTGGTCCCAACTGGGTGAGCTGGGGGGCCAGCTTGTTTGCTGAAAGTTACTAGAGCTGCCTGGGGGTCTGTCATCTGTGGATCTAGTTTGGTATTACAGAGAGAGCATCTGGAATGCATTAAAAGAAGTCAGCCAATCATCTGAAGACAATTGTGAGTACTCGACAAGTGTGAGCGGTCCTAGAGACTGCATGCTGTTGCCACCCCTCCAGTGTTGAAGAGTCAGGTGCAGGGGTGGACTGACCATTCGAGCACTCGGGCACTGCCCGAGGGCCCGGGGTCAGTAGGGGGCCCCATGAAATGTCCCTGGTACCTTTTTATAGGCTTTTTTGGGTGTGCTTTGAGTGTGGGCAAGGAAACAGGGGCCCCATGATCCCCTATTGCCCGGGGGCCCCATGAGTTGTCAGTCCTCCCCTGGTCAGGTGTGTGTTTAAAGGGGATATAGTGTCCAGTGTCCTGAAGAGCTTAGTCTATTTTAATTCTTAGTGAAAGGACTTTGCTTGGACTGTCCAGAGAGGAAGGTTAATCTCCTCGAGTTGCTGCTTAAACATCTAGTTCACACCTTTACTTGTGCAAGGACTTGGCTAATAGTTCCACAGAAGAGAAAGTGTCCTCCTATTTGTACATAATTTTGGAGTATCACACTCAATTCCCTATCCCCAGCCAAGTTACCCAAAAATAAAACCGCCAAAAGAAGACCCCTGGACTGTTCATTGAGTCAAAAGAGTGAGTAAGACTGTGTGCCTGTCTGCGGGCAACTATCGGGGAAAGAACCCTGGGCATCCTACAGCAGTAGCGCTACAGAGTCCAAGATCATTTTAAATTGGAAAACTTTTCCTTAGAGATATATGGAAGCTGATGTGTCAGGGCTCCCAGGTGTGACCAGAGGTGTGTGGCTGATGCAGGGAAACGCAGACCTCAGATATGTTATAAACAATATAATTTATTAACACTAACAATACAAACATAAACGCAGTGCAATACTTAAAACAATAATACAGTGCAACCAAACCAAACCAAACCAACCACCCACAGATAACAGTACATACAAGCAAGCGTCGTCAGGCAGGCCGGTCAATATCAATAGGGCAGGTAGGTACAGGGGGAGCAAGCGGAGAATTGGTCGGGGTCACAGGCCAGGTTTCAGCAGGTAGCAAGCAGCGTAGTACAGAGGGTCAGGCAGAGGGATGGTCAGGGTCACAAGCCAGGGATCAGAACAGGTAGCAAGCAGCGTGGTACAGAGGGTCAGGCAGAGGGATGGTCAGGAGCGAGCCGGGATCAGAGCAGAGAAGTCAGCAGCGTTTCAGAAACAGGATGCAGGACAGAAACAGGATACAGGGCCCAGGACAAACACAACACCAAGGCAGAGTCTGTGGGTCTGGCCATCCCTTAAATACCCCAGCATAATCAGTTCCAGGTGTTAGCTGGCTGCAAAGTTGAGTCTCTGATTGCTGGGAGCATCCGCTGGCCAGCCCTGGTACTGCAGGATCAAAAGGCAGGTGAGTCCCACCATTGCTGGCCAGTCCATTCCTGACAGTACCCCCCCTCAAGGAGCGGCCTCAGGACGCTCCAAACAGTCCTAGCTGGGAAAAAATGTTCCACCCGCCCGGGTCTGTAACTGGCGGGATATCAAAGACAGGCACACCGGGCAGGACTTCCGGGCAGCGGTACACCGGGCAGAGGCACATCGGGCTGGACTCCGGGCAGAGGCACATCGGGCTGGACTCCCGGCAGAGGCACACCGGGCTGGACTCCGGGCAGAGGCACACCGGGCTGGACTCCGGGCAGAGGCACACCGGGCTGGACTCCGGGCAGAGGCACACCGGGCTGGACTCCGGGCAGAGGCACATCGGGCTGGACTCCGGGCAGAGGCACATCGGGCTGGACTCCGGGCAGAGGCACATAGGGCTGGACTCCGGGCAGAGGCAAATCGGGCTGGACTCCGGGCAGAGGCACATCGGGCTGGACTCCGGGCAGAGGCACATCGGGCTGGACTCCGGGCAGAGGCACACCGGGCTGGACTCCGGGCAGAGGCACACCGGGCTGGACTCCGGGCAGAGGCAAAATCGGGCTGGACTCCGGGCAGAGGCACACCGGGCTGGACTCCGGGCAGAGGCACACCGGGCTGGACTCCGGGCAGAGGCACACCGGGCTGGACTCCGGGCAGAGGCACACCGGCTGGACTCCGGGCAGAGGCACACCGGCTCGGGACTCCGGGCAGAGGCACACCGGGCTGGACTCCGGGCAGAGGCAAATCGGGCTGGACTCCGGGCAGAGGCACACCGGGCTGGACTCCGGGCAGAGGCACACCGGGCTGGACTCCGGGCAGAGGCACACCGGGCTGGACTCCGGTCAGAGGCACACCGGGCTGGACTCCGGGCAGAGGCACACCGGGCTGGACTCCGGGCAGAGGCACACGGTGCCCGGGCTGGACTCCGGGCAGAGGCACACCGGGCTGGACTCCGGGCAGAGGCACACCGGCTGGACTCCGGGCAGAGGCACACCGGGCTGGACTCCGGGCAGAGGCACACCGGGCTGGACTCCGGGCAGAGGCACACCGGGCTGGACTCCGGGCAGAGGCAACACCGGGCTGGACTCCGGGCAGAGGCACATCGGGCAGGACTCCGGGCAGAGGCACATCGGGCTACCAGGCGAAGCGGCAGGCAGCGGGCCACCAGGCGGGGCGGCAGGCACCGGGCCCCCGGGCGGGGCGACAGGCACCGGGCCCCCGGGCGGGGCGACAGGCACCGGGCCCCCGGGCGGGGCGACAGGCACCGGGCTCCCGGGCGGGGGCGACAGGCCTCGGGCCCCCGGGCGGGGCGACAGGCCTCGGGCCCCCGGTCGGAGCGGCAGGCGCCGGACCCCCAGATGGAGCGACAGGTCTCGGGCCCTCAGGCGGAGCGGCGGGCGCCGGACCCCCAGATGGAGCGACAGGTCTCGGGCCCTCAGGCGGAGCGGCGCGGGCGCCGGACCCCCAGATGGAGCGACAGGTCTCGGGCCCTCAGGCGGAGCGGCGGGCGCTGGAACCCCAGACGAAGCGGCGGGGCACCGAGTCACCCAAGCACGACAGTAGGCACCGAGTCGTCTGGCAAGACTGCGGGCACCGAGTCAACTGGGCGGAACAGCGGGGAAAATCGAGTCAACTGGCGGAACAGCGGGCATCGAGTCGTCTGGCAAGACTGCGGGCACCGAGTCGTCTGGCAAGACTGCGGGCACCGAGTCGTCTGGCAAGACTGGCGGGCACCGAGTCGTTCTGGCAAGACTGCGGGCACCGAGTCGTCTGGCAAGACTGCGGGCACCGAGTCGTCGTCTGGCAAGACTGCGGGCACCGAGTCGTCTGGCGGAACAGCGGGCACCGAGTCGTCTGCAAGACTGCGGGCACCGAGTCGTCTGGCAAGACTGCGGGCACCGAGTCGTCTGGCAAGACTGCGGGCACCGAGTCGTCTGGCAAGACTGCGGGCACCGAGTCTTCTGGCAAGACTGCGGGCACCGAGTCAACAGGCACGACAGTGGGCACCGGGTCATCAGGTATCGGATTGTCTGGCTCGACAGCGGGCATCGGTCACCAGTATGACAGCGTGCACTGGGTCACCAGGCATCATGGTCATTTGGCTTGCCAGCGGGCACCGCGTCATCTGGCAAGGCAGTGGGCACCGGGTCACCAGGTATGACAGCGGGCTCTGAGTCAATTGGCACGACAGCGGGCACTGGATCAGGTACCGGATCATCTGGATCAACAGCGGGCATCGAGTCAACTGGCCTAAATAGGATCGTCGGGCTGGATCATTCATCATGCTGAGTAGCGGCATCAGGCTGAGTAGAGGCTTCAGGCTGAGTAGAGGCTTCAGGCTGAGTAGAGGCTTCAGGCTGAGTAGAGGCTTCAGGCTGAGTAGAGGCATCAGGATGAGTAGAGGCATCAGGATGAGTAGAGGCATCAGGCTGAAGAGAGGCATCAGGCTGAAGAGAGGCATCAGGCAGAGTCACGGAAGGCAGGTTCACCGGTTTGAATACTGGCAGGATGGTATTGGTTGGAAAGAATTTTCGCTTTTTTCTGGTTTTAACTACTGGAGCACTGCAAGTAAACGCATGGTCTGCAAAACGAATGGAGCAGCTGGAGACAGAGAAAAACTGGAGGATGGAACAGGAGAGGGAGCAGTTGCTACAGAGGGCTTTTTTACAGGGTTAAAGGCAGGATAGGTGCAGCGAGTGTGGGAACAGGGTACTGACATGCGGTAGATAGCCAAGTATACTGGGCTGTAACTGGAGGAGCTGGTGGGAATACAGGAGTAGAGTTAGAAGCAGGACTGGGTTTTTGTAAGCTGACTGAGGCTGGGTGCAACAAGTCTGTCCATGTCTTGCAGTATGGGGTTGAACAAAGCTGAGCTTACACAAAGCCTGTCAGGTCAATGACTGCACTGCGTTTATACAATCTTTTAGTGTCTGTGGTGAACATGTGGAATAACGCTCCAGAAAGTAACCCACATCATCCTCTAATAACCACACCAGGGACTCTACCTGGTCGGCACTAAATGGTGGCAAAAATTCATCCCTGCATTCGGGGAACCAGATGAAACCAAACTCAGCACAAACCTCAATCAAAGGCTGCACCTCAGAGAACTCTGTGCCCTGATCTACTAGAACATGAGCGAGCCGTATACATTCTAGTAGTTGATCCCTGGGAATACTCCTTCAGAGTTTGATAAGCATACTCCCTGTCATCAAACACAAGCAGATATAAATACACAACCTCATCCAGATCCATCCTTCCCAGCAACAAGCCAAGATGGCTTCCCTGTGCAGCCACTTCTGGTCAGGATTGGCCTTGGTGTAATGTCAGGGCTCCCAGGTGTGACTAGAGGTGTGTGGCTGACGCAGGGAAACGCAGACCTCAGATATGTTATAAACAATAATTTATTAACACTAACAATATCAAACATAAACGCAGTGCAATACTAAAACATAATACAGTGCAACCAAACCAAACCAAACCAACCACCCACAGATAACAGTACATACAAGCAAGCGTCGTCAGGCAGGCCGGGTCAATATCAATAGGGCAGGTAGGTACAGGGGGAGCAAGCGGAGATTGGTCGGGGGTCACAGGCCAGGTTCAGCAGGTAGCAAGCAGCGTAGTACAGAGGGTCAGGCAGAGGGATGGTCAGGGTCACAAGCCAGGGATCAGAACAGGTAGCAAGCATCGTGGTACAGAGGGTCAGGCAGAGGGATGGTCAAGGAGCGAGCCAGGATCAGAGCAGAGAAGTCAGCAGCGGTTCAGAAACAGGATGCAGGACAGAAACAGGATACAGGGCCCAGGAACAAACACAACACCAAGGCAGAGTCTGTGGGTCTGGCCATCCCTTAAATACCCCAGCATAATCAGTTCCAGGTGTTAGCTGGCTGCAAAGTTGAGTCTCTGATTGCTGGAGCATCCGCTGGCCAGCCCTGGTACTTGCAGATCAAAAGGCAGGTGAGTCCCACCATTGCTGGCCAGTCCATTCCTGACATGATGTTTCTGTCTTCTCATTTTGAAAAATTCTTGTGTCTGGTTGTTATGCCAACTGTTGAGCATTCCTTTTACGTTTCAGTCATCTGCTTAGTTGAGTACTGTCTGTGATACAATTGTATTTGCAGGTAACTTTTAATGACATGCTTTTGGGGTATATCTTCTTCTAAAGTCCAGCAGTACTGATACACAATAGTATTATTATTATTATTATACAGTATTTATATAGCGCTAAAAGGGTTTGCTCAGCGCTGTACATTATAGTGGGGGACAGAACATGAGACAATACAGTAACAAAAACAAAACATGAGGGGCAAGGGCCCTGCTCTTTCGAGCTTACAATCTAGGAGGGAGGGGATAGTGGTACAGTAAAGTGGCTGTGGTAGGAGGAGTGGAGGAGATCGAATGTTAGGTGAGGGCGGGGTAGGCTTCCCTGAAGAGATGGGTTCTTCAGGGTGCGCCTAAAGGTGAGGAGGGTAAGGTGACAGTCTGATGGATTGGGGTAGTGAGTTCCAGAGGATGGGGGAAGTTCTGGAGAAGGCCTGCAGTCAGGCGTGGGAGGTGGAGACCAAGGAGCTACAATAGTAAAAGGTTAAAGGGAATCTCCACCCAACTCACCTTCACAAATACACCCCCCCCTCCTTTTTTTTTCTCCTTATACTCCCACTTGCCATGAGGTGGGATTTGCACATTTCAGATCCTCACCCATTCAGAAGATCCAGCATTTTTCCAGATATAAGATCCTCTTTTATGACCTGTCACGGCTCGGTCCCACCCCACTTTGTTGTTTCTGACACCATCAAGGGACCCACCGGCCCGTTCCAGGTTCAGCAGGCAGACCTCCCGATGACGTGCCACTAGACCTGTCCCCACCTCCTCTGTGAATGAAACCATAAGCCCTCCTGGATAGGTGATGTACAGTACATATCACAGGAAGCACATCAGACACAGTACACGTCATTTGTGAATGACTTGCTTAGGAGGCGGGTCCAAATCCTTTTTTCTGAAAAAAAAAAAAGAAAGGTACAAAAAAGTGGGTAGGCAGGAGGCATTTTCAATTTTAGGCCAAAAGATCCACTTTAAAGCTGAATTCCAGTTCTTTGTCACTTGGTCCAAACAAGCTATTTTAATATGACAGAAGGCTGGCGTCCGACTTTAAAGTAGTAAAGAGGCAAAACTTTTTTTTTTTTCATTTTGAATAGAATAAGGTTATAGTTATGAACTGTTTTGATTTCACTTTCTGTAAAAAATGGCATTGGATATACTTTAAAGTGGTTCTAGAGGCTGAGATTTTTTTTACCTTAATGTATTCTCTATATTAAGTTACATTAAAAAAACCTTCTGAGTGCAGCTCCCCACAGAGGCTCCCCTTATACTTACCTGAGCCCAATGTTGATCCAGTACTGTACATGAGCGCAGCAACTCTCTTGGAGAGCCAGTCCAGGAGCAAGCTCACATGAGTGCTCCCATAACAAGTGGCTTGCTATGGTGGGCATTCAGTGGGGGGGGGGGGCAGGGGTGTAGGTGGGGTATCCAAGAAGAGGAGGATCCGGGCTTCTCTGTGCAAAATCATTTCACAGAGTAGGTAAGTATGACATGTTTGTTGTTAAAAGAAAAAAAAAATCATGTGTTTACAATCACTTAACTCTTTGAAGTTTGAAATGTACCATGACACCCATTTTTTTCAGACAGGAGTATAAATTTGTTGCAAAATCTTCCATACGACTATTCTGATCCTTTTATCTTGTGATCAAGTTTGGGCAGTTCCCTTATTCCTATTGCCTCATCAATTTTTATATCTCTTAATATCATCATACGTCTATGTCCTTACTGTCAGTGGTGCAGAAGATATATTGGCACTATAAAACTGGTAATGATAATTTTTGCAGTAGCGAAGAAGGCCCCTTTTGTCCTCTCAGTGCAAGCTTTAATTTTCAGAAGAAATAGTGTTCCCTGGTGCATTTGCCTCCTTGCCAGCCCTTGCATGTAGATCATACTGTTTCTCATAAAGAAATTAAAACGGTTTCCAAAAAAAAGGGCTCCTTGGGAAATGTCTTCTTTTTTTTTTTTTTATTTGTTCACATTCATTTCAGTTTGTATTTCTTATAAAATAATACACCAGGCCAGATACGACAAACCGAAGGGAGGTGATTTTCTTTTTTTTCTTCTTTTGAGCCTCCCCAACAATTTTTAAAAAGCAGCACAATAATTTTAATGTTGTCGTTTAGCAACACAGGTCAATATTTCATCTCTGCTCCTGTACAATTGTAAACCAGCAACCGCTTTTCGAAATATTGCCTGGTGGCTTGTAAACTCTTCCACATCTGATTTGTTGTAACTGTGCAATTACTTCTAGTATTTTGTGTATTTGACATTTATATGTGTGTTTCTAGCCATGTGCCTAGAGGAGAATAAGAAATAGCAGATTT